TCAAACCTTCTTTACTTAATTTTCATTATTCCTTTCTGCGCACCACCTACCCCTCGTGTGACGCCAAACCAGAAATACACACAAAGTCATCTGGCGCGGACGTGCTGGGAGGGAGAGAGAGGTAGAGGGGATGGAAAGGGTGTGAGAGGGAAAGGGGGGAGGGGGTAGGGAGGTGGTGGGGGATCGAACCCGTGGCATCAACAAGATTAAGGCAATTTACCCGCGCTCACCCACCCACTTGTAAACATTGGCCGTCGCACATGACTTTTCCCTCTAGATTCCTTTCCCCCTTACCTTCTCTCTCCCTCTTCCACCACTTCCCCTCTCTCTCTCCCCTCCCCTCTCTTCCTCTCTCTCTCTCCCCACCTCCCCTCTCCGTCGTTCTGGAGGCGTCATTGTGGCCGCCGCGGGTATCAGGTATTTTAAATGGGTCCGGAGCCCAATTTCATTTTCTTCCGAGCTTGTTACCATGTCTGTAAAGTGGCCGGGACAGTCTCTCGGCCGGGGGGGTAATTTTCGTCCGCCGCGGCGGGTTTGGCGCGAGATAATCCGCTGTAACGGCCGACTTGGCGGGAAAACTGAAGGGGGGGGGGGTCAGTGGGGTTTGGGCGGGAGACAATGGGATTGGCCGTGAGACTCGATGGATTTTACGTTAATGGACCAATCACGGTCCATGCTTGGATGACGGTTACTAATGGACTTCGGGGGGGGGGGGATTTGTTGTGGTTGATCTGTTACTTATCTCTGCGTGGCTTTGCTTGTTCAGCTTTACGCAAGCAGGTTTTGCATGCCCGTGTCCGATTATGACTAGTCGGTACAGATACGGCATCGTTTCGTGCAGGAGCGGCGTTCGATCCCCGATTGTCCGAGTGGTTGGGCACTGCTGCTTCATTCCGTCCTCATATCCTAGCTCCTTGTCCTTATATCCCAGCTTCTTGTCCTCATATCCTAGCTCCTTGTCCTCATATCCCCGCTCCTTGTCCTCTTATATAAACTCCTTGTCCTTATATCCACGCTCCTTGTCCTCATATCCCAGCTCCTTGTCCTCATATCCTAGCTCCTTGTCCTCATATCCTAGCTCCTTGTCCTCATATCCCAGCTCCTTGTCCTCATACCCCCTCTTCCTGTCCTCATATCCCAGCTACTTGTCCCCATATCCCTTCCAATTAGTACATAGTCACACTGACCTAATATACCTCTTGCCGATAGGTAATTTGAACCTAAACATCGCGACAATAGTCAAGGCTGCAGGCTTTCCACATCAACGTTCAGAAAGTTGATCGAACCAGCATGATTTCGAGTCTCTACAAGTGAATCCCCCCCCCTGGGGGTTATGAGTTGCTCACAACCAGGTACACGACACATGTGAGTTTTAGGCCCTGGTGGGGTATTCCTGTGAGCTGTATGGTAGATAAGATCAATGGTATTCATACCGGGGCTGGCTGGTATTCGCTGCCCACGAAAGAAAGATTAAGACAAAATAAATGATTTTAAGGTATGTTAGTTTAGGAGTGTGTAATTTGAATCATTCAATGTGTAACTGATTGGAACATGGTGTAAAACAGAAGGGTTCAGTGAATCACAGGATTCGTAAAATCGCGAGGGGTCTAAACCGAATCGCAGGGTTCATCGATTCAAGGGGGGGATTGATAGAATCGAGGGTGGTTCATTGATTTACTGACTTCGTGGAACCGAGGAGAGGTTTGTTTAATCGCGAATTTCGTATAATCGGAGTGTTGGGGGGGGGGGAGGAGTGGTTCTATGGAACGACGGGGCTATAGTAACTTTGAGGCAGGTTCACTGACTCGTGGAAGGTTCACTGAATCGGTTCACTAGAACCTTAGACCCGCATATTGGCGATGCCGGCACTATAGCGCAGTGACTACATCATGATCACTGGTGTGACTCACTATACCAGCGACGACGACGACGGTGACGACGACGACGGTGAAAACCATATCACTGCGCCATCGAAGGAGGCGACGACAGCGGAAATTAGCGGGAAGCTCGGAACGTTAGTTCTGTGATGACTGCTCCTGCTGGGGTATTGTTGGGGTGACGACCTATCTATCTCTCTCTCTCCCTCTCCCTCTCTCTCTTCTATCCTCCCCTCTCTCTTCCTTCCTTCCTTCCTTCTGTTCCATAAGTGATTTCTCTCCCCCCTTCACTCTCCCATTCCGCCCCTCCTCTAAGACTCGGTGTGTATGTGTGCCGGCGTCTATAGAGCGCTCTCTCGCCCTCTCGCACTTTTCAGAGTCTCGACTTTTATCTGGCCATCGGAGGCTCTTTTTATTTGACACAACCCGCCACTCCTCCTCCTCCTACAGCACGGCGCTCCTCTATGTTGCTGCTCCTGCTGCTGCTGTTGTTGTTGCTGTTGCTGCTGCTGCTGCTGCTGCTGTTGCTGCTGTTGCTGCTGCTGCTGCTGCTGCTGTTGCTGTTGCTGTTGCAGCTGCTGCTGTTGCTGCTGCCAAAATGGTCTTCTGGGTTGTTTTTGTTGTTGTTTTTTAACCTGTTTACTTATTGTCCTCCGCCGCCAGTCTCTTGCTTGTAGAAGGCTAAATGGAAGAGTCAACTCTTTACCTCCCATCCTCGTAGGATGGAGATGGGATAGAATAGATGAAGAGAGAGAGAGAGAGAGAGAGAGAGAGAGAGAGAGAGCACCGTTAATGATTGACAGACAGACCAATAGGCACACAGCTGTTGTCTCCTGGTTCACAATGGACTCTTGATGCCAGGCATAAGTACCTGGATGACAAGACTGAAATTGAGGTAATTTGTGATGTACATATTTGATATTGGACGAGGCAGGCGCGTACGAGGGAGCGTGTGTACTCCCCTTGGTGTGCTTGCGGGGGTTGAGCTCTGGCTCTTTGGTCCCGCCTCTCAACTGTCAATCAACTGGTGTACAGATTCCTGAGCCTATTGGGCTCTATCATATCTACACTTGAAACTGTGTATGGAGTCAGCCTCCACCACATCACTTCCTAGTGCATTCCATTTACTAACTACTCTGACACTGAAAAAGTTCTTTCTAATGTCTCTATGGCTCATTTGGGTACTCAGCTTCCACCTGTGTCCCCTTGTTCGCGTCCCTCCAGTGTTGAATAGTTCATCCTTGTTTACCCGGTCGATTCCTCTGAGGATTTTGTAGGTTATGATCATGTCTCCCCTTACTCTTCTGTCTGCCAGTGTGTGTGTGTGTGTGTGTGTGTGTGTGTGTACTCACCTAGATGTGCTTGCAGAGTCGAGCCAGGCTCCTGGCCCCGCCCTCCGAACGTTCTTAGACTAATGCAATGATTTATTTCTCACACTTTTTTATCATATTTACATTTAAAACTTTGATTTGATTCAACAACTTCTACGTCTAACCTGTCCCACCTATTGACAGCTTTAACACTGAAAAAGATCTTTCTGACGTCTCTCTCACTCACTTACGTCTCGAGTTTCCGTCTATGGTGCATCGTTTTGCTGTTCTGAGCTTTGAACAACACTGCTCTTGTCTACCTTGTCAATTTTCCTTAGAATCTTGTATGTTGTTATCATATCCCCCCTATCCCTTCTTTCCTTCAGTGTGGTAAGGTCCGGTTCCCTCAGTCTTTCCTCATATCTTAAGCCCTTCTGCTCAAGAACGAGTATTGTTGCATATATCAGGACCTTTTCTAGTTTCTTCTTGTCCTTTTTCATGTAGGGGTTTCATGCTGGGGGGATGCATGTTCAAGTGTTGGTCTCACCTTCGTTGTATATTGGGCCTGGAAAGCTCCTTTGCCCAAGTTTCTGAAGAATGTACGGATGTTGGCCGGTATGAGATATGCAGCTGTTGTTATTCTGCTAATGTGGGCTTCTGGCCTCAGATTTGGGGATCTTTCTTCTTTTCTGATTGAAGAATTTATTTTCCCCTTCTTCCTATACTGCTGCACTGGTCTTCGCACTCCAGTTCCATTCCTCGTAACTTTGCATTTGGCTGGGTTAAACTCTATTAGCCATTTTTCAGATCACTTCTGGAGTGTGTCCAAATCCGTTTGCAATGCCTCACAATCTTTGTCCTGACTCTTCTTACCAGTTTTGCAACATCTGCAAACATTGATATTAAGGACCCAATTTCTTATATCAGGTCGTTGACATACATTAGAAACAGTATGGGCTTAGAACCGACCCTTGCGGTACTCCACTTGTAACCTCTCTCTCCACTCTGATGTCTCTTCCCCTCACTGTAACCCTTTGTTCCCTTCCTGAGAGGTACTCTCTGACCCACCTTAGGACTCCCTGATACGCCAGTCTGCTTCTCTAGTTTAAGTAAGAGTCTTTTATGCTGGACCGCGCGATCAGTCTGGGCTCTAAGCTCTATAGTGACAAATCAAGTTCCAGCTTGAGTACTTTTTGAAAGCTAAATCCTCACGTATATCCTTATCATTTTCCGTGTGTTCTCTCACATTTGTGATCTGATAACCTGTTCATTCACAGTCATCGTCCTCATGATATGACTGTGGAACAGATGTGGCTGGGACTCGGCTTTCTATGTGATGTCATCCTCGTACTGCTTCTCTGCCACTCGTCCAACCACTTGGGGCTGGAGGGTAGAGCGACGGTCTCTATTCATGCAGGTCGGCGTTCAATCCCCGACCGTCCACAAGTGGTTGGGCACCATTCCTTTCCCCCGTCCCATCCCAAATCCTTATCCTAACCCCATACCAAGGACTATATAGTTGTAATGGCTTGGCGCTTCCCTCCTGATAATTCCCTCCCTCCCTCTCCTAGTTTCTGTGTACTCATTTCTGGCCACTTTGTGTGCATTGTGATTTTCTTCTGTTCTGTGTTCTCAATATTTATCCCATGCTCTTTGTCTTCCACACACTGCCTGTTGCACCATAGGCCTATGCTAGTTCTGCTTCCCAAAAGTGGTGGTATAAATCTTCCTTCATCTTCATGTTTGTTGGTTAAGTTGTCCATAATGTCCTGTGTGGGTGGTCCTCGTACTTCTCTTCCCTATTCCAGCCCCTCCAGGAATTCTCTGACCCTCTGGTGTTTCCCCTCTTCTGTATGCCGGCCTTATACTCTCTTCTCCTGGTTACATCTTTCTCTGGTCTTTGGCTCCTAATGGTATTTCATGGTCAATGTTTTCAAGGTCTGTCTCATGCTATGTCCATCTCATTATTCATTGGGTCTTCTTGCTCTCTTCTCAATTCTCATTACCTTGCATTAATATGGGTTGAACTCTAAAAGCCATTTCTAGCATCATTCCTGAAGTTTATACAGGTCTTTCCATATATTTTGCCGATTATTATCAGTTTTAATGTTTCATCAATCTTGCATCGTCCGCTAACTTCAACTTTCGCATTTATGACATTTGTGTATGTACCAAGAATATTACAGGTGCTTGTATCGGGCAATGTGGAGCTCCACTCACCTCTCTCCGCTATGAAGTCTCTCCCATTAGGTTGATTCTGGAATAGAGGATTATTTGTACTGTATGAAATGCCTTCTGGAAGTCCTGAAAGACACAATCTTCCTGTTGCCTTGGTATTAAAGGCCAATAAGTTCACTATTCAGGACTTATCCCTTCTCAGGAACCATGTGGGTGTTTGGACACAAGGTTTGCATCTTCTGAAAACGTATTTCATTCACTAATTACCTCCCGGTAATGTCCTTTATCACCTTACAGGGAATGCATGTTAAGGAGGACCGTTCTTGGATAAACCTTGGTAAACCTTCTTGGATAACAAATACACCAATGCCTGTCTTCCAGTACTTGAGATTAGTACTTAGTCCATTAAAGTGTTGTTAGTCGCTGCCAGAGGCTTCCTTAGCTCCTCGGCGACCTCCTTTAGGATCCAGGGGGAAACTTATCCGGATATAATGGTCTTATTTTATGAGGTTCATCTAATGAGTCCTCATCAGGTCCTCTGATTACACATATTTTTTGTGTATCCTGGAAGCTAGACAGAGCGAGAGAGAGAGAGAGAGAGAGAGAGAGAGAGAGAGAGAGAGAGAGAGAGAGAGAGAGAGAGAGAGAGAGAGAGAGAGAGAGAGAGAGAGAGAGAGAGAGAGAGAGAGAGAGAGAGAGAAAAAACAGAAGAGAAATAGAGGAGGGACTTGCGAGAAAATTAAGAGAATATGAAGGCAGGAAGTTCCCAGTTCATTGTTTACACACACAGTAGCCCGTGAGAACTTGGCAATTAACACAATGAAAGGACCCGCCCGAACACCTCGTGTCCGACACCACCCCTACATCTTCCCACCCACCCTCCACCCCTACACACCCAGTACACCCACCCCTACACACCCACCCCTACACACCCAGTACACCCACCCCTACACACCCAGTACACCCACCCCTACACACCCAGTACACCCACCCCTACACACCCAGTACACCCCACCCCTACACACCCAGTACACCCACCCCTACACACCCAGTACACTCAAACGCGCCACAATGTACCCGAAATGACATTCCAGGCCAACCAGCCACAAAACTGACCGCTCCATTGGGATTCCGTGCTGGAGTCGGGCACTGAGTAGGTGTGGGAATAGTGGGCATGGGTGTCCCACGTAGCAGTGTGGTAATGGGTGTCCCACGTAGCAGTGTGGTAATGGGTGTCCCACGTGGCAGTGTGGTAATGGGTGTCCCACGTAGCAGTGTGGTAATGGGTGTCCCACGTAGCAGTGTGGTAATGGGTGTCCCACGTGGCAGTGTGGTAATGGGTGTCCCACGTAGCAGTGTGGTAATGGGTGTCCCACGTAGCAGTGTGTTAATGGGTGTCCCACGTAGCAGTGTGGTAATGGGTGTCCAACGTAGCAGTGTGGTAATGGGTGTCCCACGTAGCAGTGTGGTAATGGGTGTCCCACGTAGCAGTGTGGTAATGGGTGTCCCACGTAGCAGTGTGGTAATGGGTGTCCCACGTAGCAGTGTGGTAATGGGTGTCCCACGTGGCAGTGTGGTAATGGGTGTCCCACGTAGCAGTGTGGGAGAAGAGACTTCATTGGCCCTGATGTCAGTCATAAATATTGAGATTATACACCCTTACAGCTGAGGGAGAAGGGGAGATGGGAGAGGGGGAGATGAGAAGGAGGGATAGAAGAGAGAGAGAGAGTTGGGAGATAGGGGAGAAAACTTGAAAGGGAAGGAGAGAGACGAGACAGGAGAGGAAGGGAGAGGGGAGAATCTAGAAGAGAAAAACTATAGAGGAGAGGAGAGCAAGTAGGTAGATGAATGGAGGGAAACCTTGAGAGAAGAGGGAGCTGAGGGAAAGTGAGGGAAGGGAAGCAAGACAGGATAAATGAGAGGGAAGGATGGTGATGGATAAGAGGCTGGGGATGGGATAACAGGGATGGAGAGGCGAGGGTGTGAGGGACATAGAGAAAGGGGAACAATGGCAGGCTGGGATAGGTGATGGGAGGGAGGCTGGGATGGAGTGGCAGAGTTATATATATATATATATATATATATATATATATATATATATATATATATATATATATATATATATATATAGTTTCATTGAATATGACCGCATATTCTGTATTTATTATTTTCTGGTTTAGGGCTTCTATCCCTCTAACTATTTTCTTAGCATCAGGGCTTAATTGAAATAGGAGTTCTCCAAAACTCATTTTCGTACTTTTAAGGTGAAGAAAAGAAGTGATTTACTATAGAGTGTATTACACTTATTGTATAATTTGCACGACGTTTCGAACCTCCATGGTTCATTCTCAAGTGAACAGATCTTACAATACAAGTTGATTTTATACCCGCATTAGGTCAGGTGATAATACAATGAAGGTGAAAACATGGGGGGATACATAAGGGATAAACATAGGGGCTGCAGAAGGCTTATTGGCCCATACGAGGCATCTCCTATCTAAACACAAAGATTAATCCAGTGTAATTGGCCTGTTATGTTAGACATTGTCTTCTGTGTTGGCATCGATATGTTCTTGTCTTGTCGTTACTCTCATGGTGGGTAGAGTAAATAGTTCCGTGGTTTGGGTGTTCATGGTAGGTCGCTCTATTCTTATGTGAATTGCCTCAAGAATTTGTAATCTTCTTGAATCTTGGGTTTTGTCTATTATGCAAGTATTCTTGTTCAACATTTCTCTTGTTAGAGTAATGTCATGGGCTTGTCTCATGTGATTCCTAGGGGCACCAGATTGAAGATGGCATGTCAAACGCCTCGTCAGCTTGGTCGACGTCATACCTATGTACTTACATTGAAGGTTACATCCTTCGTGGGGGCAAGTGTACATGTATACAACGCTTGACTGCTGTAGAGGGTTCTCCGTCGGCTTCGGGCTGTTTTGATAAGGAGTTCGGAAGTCTTCTTGGTTTTGTAGAATATTATCAGGTTTATGTTTTGGTTAGGAGTAGTGCTTTTTACTCCTTTACGGATTATTTCTTTCATTATTCTTTCCTCTTTTATATGTTCACTGTGCATGGTTGATTTGTAATATAATTTTATTGGGGGTGTTGTGGTTTCTGTTCTAGGTTCTGAATTATACCAACGGTCCAAGTGTCTTCTTATAGCAGCGTTTATTTCCGCGTTGCTATATCCGTTGTTCACCAATACCTGAGTTACTCTTTCAAACTCTCTACTCACGTTGCTCCATTCAGAGCAGTGGGTAAGCGCTCGACGAATATAAGCATTGAGAACACTGGCTTTGTATCTTTGGGGGCACTCACTTCTACCGTTCAGGCATAATCCTATGTTGGTGGGCTTGGTATATACGTTGGTGCTTAAAGAGGTTCCTGTTTTGTTATTAGTACATCCAAGAATGGCAGACTGATATTTTCACTATTTTCATGTGTAAATCGGAGTACTGACTCTCTCTCTAGGTGTCTTTTTAGGTCAATTAGTTCATCTGAGTCTTTTACTATTACGAATATGTCATCTACATAACGGCAGTATACAGTTGGTTTTTGTCTGCTACTGAAGACCCTATCTTCGATGGTTCCCATATAAAAATTAGCAAATAAAACTCCTAAGGGAAAGTCTTCTCCTAAGGAAAAGTCTTCTCGAAGCATGTACAAAGGAAGCCCCTTTCATCAGTCCACAAGGAGACATGTATTTACAAATAGACGGAGTAGCAATGGGCTCCCCCTTAGGAGTTTTATTTGCTAATTTTTATATGGGAACCATCGAAGACAGGGTCTTCAGTAGCAGACAAAAACCAACTGTATACTGCCGTTATGTAGATGACATATTCGTAATAGTAAAAGACTCAGATGAACTAATTGACCTAAAAAGACACCTAGAGAGAGAGTCAGTACTCCGATTTACACATGAAAATAGTGAAAATATCAGTCTGCCATTCTTGGATGTACTAATAACAAAAACAGGAACCTCTTTAAGCACCAACGTATATACCAAGCCCACCAACATAGGATTATGCCTGAACGGTAGAAGTGAGTGCCCCAAAGATACAAAGCCAGTGTTCTCAATGCTTATATTCGTCGAGCGCTTACCCACTGCTCTGAATGGAGCAACGTGAGTAGAGAGTTTGAAAGAGTAACTCAGGTATTGGTGAACAACGGATATAGCAACGCGGAAATAAACGCTGCTATAAGAAGACACTTGGACCGTTGGTATAATTCAGAACCTAGAACAGAAACCACAACACCCCCAATAAAATTATATTACAAATCAACCATGCACAGTGAACATATAAAAGAGGAAAGAATAATGAAAGAAATAATCCGTAAAGGAGTAAAAAGCACTACTCCTAACCAAAACATAAACCTGATAATATTCTACAAAACCAAGAAGACTTCCGAACTCCTTATCAAAAACAGCCCGAAGCCGACGGAGAACCCTCTACAGCAGTCAAGCGTTGTATACATGTACACTTGCCCCCATGAAGGATGTAACCTTCAATGTAAGTACATAGGTATGACGTCGACCAAGCTGACGAGGCGTTTGACATGCCATCTTCAATCTGGTGCCCCTAGGAATCACATGAGACAAGCCCATGACATTACTCTAACAAGAGAAATGTTGAACAAGAATACTTGCATAATAGACAAAACCCAAGATTCAAGAAGATTACAAATTCTTGAGGCAATTCACATAAGAATAGAGCGACCTACCATGAACACCCAAATCACGGAACTATTTACTCTACCCACCATGAGAGTAAGGACAAGACAAGAACATATCGATGCCAACACAGAAGACAATGTCTAACATAACAGGCCAATTACACTGGATTAATCTTTGTGTTTAGATAGGAGATGCCTCGTATGGGCCAATAAGCCTTCTGCAGCCCCTATGTTTATCCCTTATGTATCCCCCCATGTTTTCACCTTCATTGTATTATCACCTGACCTAATGCGGGTATAAAATCAACTTGTATTGTAAGATCTGTTCACTTGAGAATGAACCATGGAGGTTCGAAACGTCGTGCAAATTATACAAATAAGTGTAATACACTCTATAGTAAATCACTTCTTTTCTTCATCTTAAAAGTACGAAAATGAGTTTTGGAGAACTCCTATTTCAATTAAGCCCTGATGCTAAGAAAATAGTTAGAGGGATAGAAGCCCTAAACCAGAAAATAATAAATACAGAATATGCGGTCATATTCAATGAAACATGTTTGAAAGAAAAACCTGCTGCCAGTATACACCAATAAATATATATATATATATATATATATATATATATATATATATATATATATATATATATATATATATATATATATATATCAGTGTCAGACCACAAAGGAAGCATTAAGACTTTAATTTCCTTAAGTACTTTCGTATTTAATAATACATCTTCAGAAGGATGGATGTACAGTTCAGTGAGTGTGGATATATAGGCAGGAAAGCGGTGAGAAACAATCTCTTTAATGAGATAATGGGATATTGATAAGGTATTAGTGAGATAAATTTGTATCAATGATATCCTACTCAAATCACCTTTTAACTGATCAATAAAAAAAGGATCTAAATTATGAAAAACCACTGCTAATGTTCAAATTACATGATTTTGTAATCTGTATTAAAGTATATTCAATAATGTTCCTATTGAAAATAAATTTACTATTTGTTATTGAAGAAATCTCTCGATCAATTTGGTGAGAGCTTTCTGACAGATGAACAAAGCATTAGACACTTGGGCCATGTCTTACAGAATATTTATGTTGCGAAATTCTAAATTTCAAATCTTTGGATGTTTGCCCAACATAGAACCTAATACAGTCTGTACAAGGTATTTTGTAAATGACGCAATTATCACTACGAGGGCTGTTTCTAACTAATAGTTTACCAATAGTAAACTGCTTTCAACAGTTTACAAACAAACAATAGTGTTAATTGTTTTCGTAATTAAACAATACATGTATATAAAAAAGTTTCAAGGCCTTCTTGAGGTTATCTTGAGATGATTTCGGGGCTTTAGTGTCCCCGCGGCCCGGTCCTCGACCAGGCCTCCACCCCCGGGAAGCAGCCCGTGACAGCTGACTAGCACCCAGGTACCTATTTTACTGCTAGGTAACAGGGGCATTGGATGAAAGAAACTCTGCCCATTGTTTCTCGCCGGCGCCTGGGATCGAACCCAGGACCACAGGCCTTGACCATATTTTCAAACCCAGAAAAATATGTTAAACATATCACATTTTTGGGGCAAATTTTCTCACTGCATATATAATTACAATATGTACGACGCGCTTTACAACAGCAAACTTTCAAAAAATAATTCAATAGAATTGGTCAAATGTAAAGATGAAATAGTTCCTTACAATGGGGGACAGGATTTCGGCGAGCCATTTAGACAGCTTGTTAAAAGTGGATCCCACAGAACTGATGATAGTTAGGATAGAACAAATGATAGTTAGGATAGAACTGATGATAGTTAGGATAGAACAAATGATAGTTAGGATAGAACTGATGATAGTTAGGATAGAACTGATGATAGGATAGAACTGATGATAGTTAGGATAGAACAAATGATAGTTAGGATAGAACTGATGATAGGATAGAACTGATGATAGTTAGGATAGAAC